GCTTACTCCTTGGGAGGAAAGTTACGACCAACCTAGACAGCATATTGAAAAGCAGAGACAGTACTTTGCCAACAAAGGTCCATCTAGTCAAGGCTATGGTTTTTCCAGTGGTCATCTATGGATGTGAGAGTTGGACTGTGAAGAAAGCTGAGCGCCAAAGAATTGATGCTTTTGAACTGTGGTGTTGGAGAAGACTCTTGAGAGTCCCTTGGACTGTAAGGAGATCCAACCAGTCCATCCTAAAGGAGATCAGTCCTGGGTGTTCATTGGAAGGACTGATGCTGAAGCTGAAACTCCAATACTTTGGCCACCTCATGTGAAGAGTTGACTCATTGGAAAAGACCCTGATGCTGGGAGGGATTGGGGGCAGGAGGGGAAGGGGATGACAGGATGAGATGGCTGGATGACATCACCGACTCAATGGGCATGAGTTTGAGTAAACTCTGGGAGTTGGTGATGGACAGGGAGGCCTGGCGTGCTGCTATTCATGGGTCGCAAAGAGTCGGACACGACTGAGTGATTGAACTGAACTGAACTGAATGTTTATAAAGAGCTGAGGAAACTGTAGTAACTATAGTCTGCCACAAGGCGTCACCCAAGCAGAGTTTTCAAGGATGAAAAAGAGTTTTATCAATTGCGCAAAAGGAGAAAGACTGCACATAGAAAGATCTAGAAAAGTCAGGAAGAGGTGAATGACCATGCAATTTTCTGCCAGCACCGTGTTGACATTGGAGCACATCATGTGCCCCAGTTTCTGTTGTTTACATCAAAGCGGCCTTTACCCTTGCCAAACACAGCTTGGCTGGTCACGCTGATCCCTCTATCCCAGTTGGCATATCACTGTTGCCTGCTACTAATGTCCTAACCACTTCCCAGACCTCACCAGCATGCCTGGGATCATCCCCAAGCCCATAATAGAGAGGAAAATAAACAATGCCCTGACCTGGGTGGGACCTCTTTGAGACACAAGCTCTTATGTTGTCTCCCTAAGGTCCACAGCTGGACTAACCCTCAGGTGCCCACTCTGTCACGTGCTCATTGGCATCCACTGCAGGAACCCTTCCCTCCCTGTCTCAGGTCTCCATCCCCAGTGGGGATGTCCTAGGGTCACCCACTGAGTACTCTATGTATCCTTGAGTCCTCATCTCAGGGTCAGCTTCTGAGGGAGGGAAGACCCCAGAGACATGAAAGACAGCTGTGGGTCCAGGGCTATCGGCTGCTTCGATCTTTATATGGTTTCACATTTGATCACTCTACACAGTAACCCTGATTGGTAGAGATGATCACAGACAGTCCCCGACTTGTGATGGTTTGACTTCAGATTTTTCAACTTCATGAAAAAATCAAACTTTGAATTTTGACCTTTTCCTAGACTAGTGATATGTGGTAAGATGCTCTCTCGTGATTCTGGGCAGCTGGCAATGAGCCTCAGCTCCCAGTCAGTCATGTGGTTACAGCGGTAAACAACTGATACATTGACTTTTTTTTTTTTAACTTTCAGTAAGTACAGTATTCAATACATTATATAAGGTATTCAACACTATTATCCAATAGGCTTGTGTTTGATGATTTTGCTCAACTGTAGGTTTATGTGAGTGTTCTAAGCACATTTAAGATAGGCTAGGCTAAACTAAGCTACGATGTTTAGTAAGCTAAATGTATTAAATGTATTTTCAATTTATGATATTTTCAACTTACAATGGGTTTATTGGGACGTAACCCCATCACAGGGCTTCCCTGGTGGCTCAGAGGTAAAGAACCCACCTGCCAATGAAGGAGACCTGGGTTCAATCCCTGGATTGGGAAGACCCCCTGGAGAAGGAAATGGCAACCCACTCCAATATTCTTGCCTGGGAAATCCCGTGGACAGAGAAGCCTGGTGGGCTACGGCCCATGGGGTAACAAAAGAGTCGGACACGACTCAGCGACTAAACAACAACCACCCTATCACAAATGAAGGGAAATCTGTATTCTTGTTTTTAGCAAGAAGAAAGAGGGAGGAACAAGCCTCAATCACTCAGTCCCTTCATAACAAAACTGACCCCCAGACCATCTCCCCTCACTAGGTCCTGGAGAGGAGATTCTAGTGCCCTGCCCAATGGGATGTGGCTGGACAGTTCTCATCCTCTTCTGCCCAGGTCTCTGAGACCTGATGCAGGGGAATCTTTTATTGAGAAGCTGAGCATCAGGGGCTTCCTGAGCCAGCTCTGAAAGGCATCGGGTCTTCTCAGCTGGAAGAGCTTGGCTCTGGGCTCTTGGGAATTCCCTGGTAGTCCAGTGGTTAGGACCCGACGCTTTCACTGCCGGGGTCTGGGTTCAAATCCTGATTCAGAAACTAAGATTCCACAAGTCATGCAACGCTGCCAAACAAAGAAAGGAAAAATCTCTCAGGTCAATGCTGACAGTAAGGAGGCCTCGAAAAGGGTGGTACTGGAGGAGGACACCTATGTCTCATTTATAAACCTGAGTCAAGGCATGTGTGGAAGCCAAAACAGAAAGGAACAGTCGATGGTCACCCAGCTGGATCACTCTTGGAAATTTAGGCCGCAGATATGCTCACGAGTGTGTGAAAGTACATGCACGGTCACCTAGGCGATGTGAATTATTCAAATAAATGTCAATGTTCAAAGGAATTATAGCTAATACTTGATGCAGTGGGTTGAGAATTGGCCCTGAAAAGATATGTTCTAACATATCTTAGATAACATACATAAGTTCTAGTCCCCATATCTGTGAATATGACCTTATTTGAAATGCATTCTTTGCAGATTTAATCAAGATCTCAAGATGAAATTATCCTGGATTTAGGGTGGGTAGGCTTCCCAGGTGGCACTAGTGGTAAAGAACCCATCTGCCAATGCAGGAGACATAAGAGACACAGGTTGGATTCCCTGGGTCGGGAAGATCCCCTGGAGGAGGACATGGCAACCCACTCCAGTATTCTTGCCTGGAGAATCCCCATGAACAGAGGAGCCTGGTGGGCTACAGTCCATAGGGTGGCAAAGAGTCAGACATGACTGAAGCAACTTAGCATGCACAGTGCGCAATAAGAGAAAGGAGGGTCCTCATAAGAAAAGAAGAGGAAAGAGAAAAGCTATGTGATGACAGAGGCAGAGATTGGAGTGACATGTTTATAACCAAGAACTACAAGCATTGCTGGACTGCTGGGGGAGAAGCTTGGGATGAATTGTCCCTCAGCTCCTTTAGAAGAAACCAATCCTGCCCACATCTTTTGAGTTCAGACTTCTGGATCAAGTTCTGTGGTTTAAAGCCACCCAGTTTGACTGCTCTGTTACGGCAGCCCAAGGGAACTAATACATTTGCCAATTTGTCTTGTTTACCAACTGTCACCCCTCCTAAGCCTTGGGAGGGCCAGGAGTTTTGTCTAGTTTATTCACTTTGTTTCCCAGAGCAGGCCCATAGTAGATGCTCAATAAATATTGCATATCTGTATATATCAAGCAGATACTGTTCTATGTGCTTTCCCATGGCTTACCTCATTTTCTCCTCACTGCAACCTTCTACAGCACTTATTACGTCCATTTTAAAGGGAGGTGAACTGAGGCTCTGAGGGACAAAGCCAAGATTCCAACCTACCAAAAGATGGTGACTGTAGTCATGAAATTAAAAGGCACTTGCTCCTTGGAAGAAAAGCTCTGACGAACCCAGAGAGCGTATTAAAAAACAAGAGACTTCACTTTGCCGACATAAGCCCGTATAGTCTAAGCTATGGTTTTTCCAGTAGTAATGTACAGATGTGAGGATTAAACCATAAAGAAGGCTGAGCGCCGGAAGAATTGATGCTTTTGAACTGTGGTGCTGGAGAAGACTATTTAGAGCCCCTTGGACAGCAAAGAGCTCAAAGCAGTCAATCCTCAACCGAGTATTCATTTGAAGGACTGATACTGAAGCTTCAGCTTCAATACTTTGGCCACCTGATGCGAGGAGCCGACTCACTGGAAAAGACCCTGATGCTGGGAAGGACTGAAGGCAGGAGAAGGGGAAGGACAGAGGATGAGATCGTTGAATGGCATCACCGACTCGATGGACGTGAGTCTGACTAAACTCCAGGAGACAGAGAACGGCAGGGACGCCTGGTGTGCTGCAGTCCATGCGGGTCGCAAAGCGTCCGACTCACTGAGCGATTGAACAACAACAATAATGAGAATCAGAAAAGGGGCGGGAAGGCAGACATTAAGCACATTCCAATAATAACCGAAGAGCCTCCATTTCTCAAGGAAATTGGAAGTAATAACCGACTTTGCCCACAGCGTGGAGCCGATGAGATCCTCAAGCGTCCGACCTGCGCGAGTGCCTTTACCCACAAGGCCTCCTGCTCTGACACATATTGTTCCGCCCCCTTTTGCAGCACTCACGGAGGCACTTTACGACTCTGGTCCTCATTTCACTGGTGAGAACACGGTCCGGCCCGCCCCCCGGGCTTAGTAGGCCCCGCCTTACTCTGAGTGGATTGGTTGCCCTTCCCACGAGCCCCGCTCTGACTGGCTCGCGTCGCTGCCACTCTATTTCAGCTTAGTGGCGCGCAGCGGCGGCTACCGGCGGGAACGTGAGCGGCGGCGGCGGTGGCGGAAGTGGCCGGGGAGGCCGGTCCCTGCCGACACCATGGTGAGGCGACGGGGGAACCGGCCACCGAAGGCCTTTGGGGCGGGTGCTGGGGCAGGGGCGATGCAGAGCGAGTGTGTCATCCGGGCCTCGACTCCTGCCGCCCGGTCGGAGCGGGGGAAACAGACCGGAGAATGCAGGGGTTTCTCAAGACACCTGGCACGTCGGTCTCGGGAATAGAGGATTGCACGAACGTGTAATCATAGTGTAGCAACCTAGCCGCAGTCTTCTCATTTTCCGGATGGGAAAAATGAGGCCGGAGAGGAAGGGGACCCCCCCCCCGCCCCGGAAACCCAGTGAATGAAACAGAATGACTTCTCAGTTAAGGAAGTGGCTCCGAGTGCATTCGACCCAGTCTGACCTCGTAAAATGTAAAGCTAGAGCGCCGGGAAGTGGAGCCCCGTTGTGCGTTCTGAAATTAAGCCAACTTCGGGAATTTCAGAGCTTGTAAGGTCCTTAGAGGGCTTCCCTCGTGGCTCCGTGGAACAGAACCCACCTGTGTAGGAGTAGTGTAGGAGATGCGAGTTCCATCCCGGGGTCAGGAAGATCCCCTGGAGAAGGAAATGGCAGTATCTTCCCAGAGAAATCCCGTGAACAGGTGGGTCTGGCGGGATCCAGTCCATCTGGCGGGATCGCAAGAGTCGGACCGACTTAGCTACTGAACAACAACAAGCCCCTTAGGATGCTAGCCGCACAATCTCCTGTGCCTCGCCTTTTCAGGCTGAAAAACACCTAGAGGTGGGTTTGCTTTTCCCAGAGTCACAATGCATGCGGTTTAGAGGGAGAGGGGGCACTTTGAGCCAAAATGGGCTAACTGTCCTCCCAATTCACAGAAGGAAAAACTGAGACCCTGACAGGAAACCTCTCCAAAGGCATGCTATTCACAAGTTGTGGACAAGTGATAGATCTAAACCAGAGAGTGCATGTACCCCCCCCCCCCCCCCCCAGTGTATGAGAGGGAAACTGTGGCCCCACAATGGAATTGAGAGCTAAGGGCTTCGTGAGAGAGTACCTGGCCTGTCAGCACCCAGGTTGCTCTGAGGGGGTCACTGCACATTTCTCTGAGCCTACCATGAGGGCTCATTAAATTTCTCCTGGTCAGTCAGTGTAAGGCTGGAGAGAAGGGAGCGGGTTCCTCTCTGCTCAAGGGTAGAGTTGGTCTCAGGGAATGAGCAAAACTGGAAAAATCCATCTGTTAAGCTCTTTGGAGACAGGATTTTTGCTTTTTATTCTCATGGGAGTCCCAGAGCCTAGAGTAGTGCCTGCATGAAGGACAGATTCGTTCAGCCTGTTCCTGCCTTCTGGGGAGTGTTGAGGCCGTGGACAAGGCTTCTTCCCTGTGGTTCCTGCAGGGCCGGAAGTAGAGGTCTGGGTGAAAGAGTGGGTGGTCTGCAACAACTTCCTGAATTGGGAGCCTCAGGATACTGTTAGGTCTAGGCTTGAGGACCAGGCCCCAGGCATTCTGAGAAAGGCCTTTCTTTCCTCAACCTTTTTTCCCTGACTCCAGAGGACCCTGTCTCCCCCAGAACTGAGTGTTCAGCCTTCTCCTATCTCCCTGGCACCTTCACGCATCTTCCATCCCCCACCCGTGGTGCCGTCCCTTCCCCTCGGCTTTCAGGTTCACCAGGATCCTCCCCTGCCCCTCACCTCTGTCTTCAGCACAGTTTGGGGCTGTAGAAGATGGCGAGCGAGCTGTGACCAGGCCGTGCGCTGTCCCAGCCCCACCTCTCCCTTACCTAAGCCTCTCCTTTCTGCGAGGCGGAGCAGGAATCCCCCCGCCCCAGGTGCCTCCGGGGGCGGTGTGCGCTGTATTTGTTCAGCAAATATTTACTGAGACCTTCTCGTGTGCCTGACCGGGTGTTCAGTGCTGGACAAAGTCCACACCCTCCGAATTTTCCAGTCTAGCAGGAGGCTTGGCGTTTCCAGTCTAGCCAGGGAGACATAATAAATAAACAAGTTAATTAGAGACTGGCTATGTCCTGTAATAGAAGCAGCAGAGGGTGACCCAGGTGGAAACCTCCTTTCTTCCCTCGACAGGGTTATAATGAGGGCCTGGCTGAGGGAACAGTCACCAGCTGGGGGCAGGGCACCCCAGGCAGAGGGAGCCTCGGAACAAAGGTTGCCAGCAGCACCAGGCGTGGTGTGTGAGGCGCAGAGTGGGCCGGTTTGCTGGAGTTGCATCAGGTCTGGCCCTGTGGGCTGCCTAGAGAGCGGGTGCACCGGGGAGGGCTGTGAGCAGGTGCTGGTCCCATCTGTCGCAGCCATCCTCCGAGGGCATACTGCCAGGAACAGCTGCGGAGGCTCTGGGTCCTGCAGGTCTGCGCTGCTGGTAGCTGGGACAGGGTGGCAGCCTGAGAGGGACCAGCTTAGAGGTGCTGTGTGCCATAAAAGGACATCTGTGGGTTCCCTGCTGACAGGCATCAGCCTACTCTCCCCAGCTTTACCAGGACCTTGCTCTGTGGCCCTGGGCAGGTTCCTCCTGCTCTAGCCGCTGGTGTCTCATGTAGAGGCTCCTTGATTGGACTGCTCTGATCCTCCCACCACCTCTCAGAGTCCATCTTCATTCTCGCCTTCCAGGGCTAACCTGGCGATCTGAGAGGAGGACCTAGGTGTGCCCCGGTCCAGATTCCCATTGTGGACACAAGAGAACAGGCTTGCCCAGGAAGAGTGTGAGGCTTCTCTGCTGTAAATACCGCCTGGGTGTGTGGCTGCTGCATGCGTGTCTGAGCCTCCCGCTCACGGCACTCGGGCAGCCTTACACAGATGCATTCCAGAGCAGAAGGCAGGTTGGCCACCCACCCGCCCTTCTGGGAACAACCACCTCCTTTCCACGTGGCCCCTTCTTCCTCCTTATCTTGCCCTTCCAGGAAGCCTGTGCAGGAAGTGGGCTTGGGCCTAGCTTCCTGCTGCCTCTGGACCTCCCCCAGGTGGCTTGTAGGGAAGGCCTGTGGGAAGTGGAATTCCCCTTCCTCCAAGCCCTTCCACGGGGAGCCTTCCTCTGGAGATTGAGGGCCATTTGTGGCCTCCTGACAAAGAGGCTCACAGCCCCCACCACCTGGAGAAACAGCTACTCCCTATTAGATAGAGACTGAGGGTAGGCTGGAACTCCCCAGCAAAGAGATCCTAGAGGTCAGACCAACTTAGAGTTCCCCAGTTACTGGGCCATGATATGGTTTTCCCTGAGGCAATTTCCTGTCTGGTGGGGCCCTAGTTCTAGAACTTTCACCTGCCTATGCTGTATAGACTGCCACTGGACCCTGAACCCAAGCACTGCCCCTTGAGTCACCCTTCTGGAGGCCCAGAGACAGGTCCCAGAGTAAGGCTCAAGATTTTGTGTTCCAAAAATGAAAACTGATTTTTTACCCCCCAGTTAACACTATATGGTTTTTTTAATGAAAAATTCAGTAATAAAGGAAACAGAACGATCTTGAAAGTTCACCTTATCTGGGTGAGTTTTTAAATCCCATCGTTTATCTGCTGTCCCTTGCAGTAACCACAGACTTTTTCTGAAATGTTTCTTCCTCTCACATGGTAAATTCCGCTCGAATACCCAGCTCAGATGTGACCTCCTTAGATCAAGAGGCCAGTTGAGCCTGATGGATCACTCTGCCAGGGGACAGTCAGGGCTGCCCCCCAAGGTGTGGGCCCAGCATGAGCTGGCTTCTGACAGACAGCGTTGAGCCAGGCTCCATCTTTCACTGGGTCTCTGGTGCTGGGGCTGGGCAAGTTCCTCAGTCTCTAAGCTCATCATCCCCATCTGTAAAGTGGGTGTGACGAGAACCATCTACCATACTGAAAATGAAAGGCTTAGCTAGAGCTGCATGTGTTAACCTGGACGTATCTCTGAAACATTAGCAGAGCAAAACACGAAAGCAGCAGCAGGACCCGTGTGCCCTGATGCCGTTGATAAACCTGGAGAGCTACACCTGGTCCTGTCAGGTGTGACTACGTACAGCATGAGCTACAGAGAAACGCCCAGAAAGATCAGCCCCAACGCCAGAGGGCAGCTGCTGCTGAGACTGTCAGGGGAGAGATCAAACCATTTTATTGAAGGACTTCAGGGGAGGGTCAAAAGGCTGGGAGGACAAAGATATAACGTCCTTCTCCTGGCTCGGATTGCCCCAGCTGCAGAATTACTGAAATGAGGATTTTTCTAGACTTCTGTGCTAAACTGGGAGGCGGGTATGTGACCTGGGGTTGGGCAGAGTTCAGAGACTGTTTCTGTTGAGGAATATGCCAGCCCTGCCTAGAGGCCAGGGCTCCACGTTGCTAATGAGCCAGACAAGTCATGCGCTTTTGTTTGCCTTTCAGCTTCCCTTGTCGCTGCTGAAAACGGCTCAGAATCACCCAATGGTGAGTTTGTGCCTCTCTGAAGCGGTGCCTTTCAAGCAGGGTCCAGCCTCAGCACAGGAACACGGACACTGGGTAAAGGGTGAGGTGCTTCCAGCCAAGCCCGCCTCCTGCCTGTCCACGGAGCAGCAGCTTGTCCTCTTCTCCCTCCCACACGTCAGGGCCTGTGTCATTTCTGCTCCTGTTCCAAGTCATACATACTTACTAAAGTGTCAAATACTAGAGATTCAGAGGAAATGGAAGCCCCTCTTCATTAATCTTCCCAACAATTTATTCTTCGGCATTTACATGTTTTGACTTTTAATATGTGTGTATAAGCATGAATGAATGTTTAAAATGTGGGTGGGTTCATCTGCTTTTGTTCTTTTGTGATAGAGTGTGATATCTGTCAATATATTCTGTTGTCTTTTTTTAATTCAGATATTATTCACACAACCATACAGTTCAACCTTTTCAGGGTGGACAGTTTAGGTACATTCAGCACATTCACAGGGTTGTGCAAGCACCACCTCTGTGTTGTTGCAGAGCAATCCTATCACCCTAAAAGGTGGCCCAGTCCCCAGTAGCAGCTACCCCCCCAGGCCCCTCCCCCAGCACCTGGCAACCACTCCTCTGCTTTCTATCTCTGTGGACTTGCCTGTTCTGGATATTTCCCATCAATGGGATCACACAACATGTGGCCTTTCATGTCTGGCTTCTCACTCAGCATGATGTTTTCAGGGTTTGTCCACATTATAACTTATGTCAGAGCTCCATTCCTTATGGCCAGATGATATTCCATTGTGTAGATATATCACACTTTATCCATTTGTCCTGGTGGCTTCCCTGATAGTTCAGATGGTAAAGAATCTGCCTGCAGTGTAGGAGACCTACACTGTTTGATCCCTGGGTCGGGAAGATCCTCTGGAGAAGGGAATGGCAACCCACTCCAGTATACTTGCGTGGAGACTTCTGTGGACAGAGGAGCCTTGCAGGCTACAATTCATGGGGTCACAGAGTTGGACATGACTGAGCAACTAACCCACATCCATTTGTTCCCTGATGACGAACATTTAGGTTGTTTCTGCTTTTTGGCTGCTGAAAATTTGAGCTGCCGGGAACATTCATGTACATGTTTTTCCGTGGATATATGCCTTCATTTCTCTTGGGCAGATAGCTAAGTTGATTCTTTTTTTTTTTTTTTTTAATTTTTTCAAACTTGAAAGTGATGACTTTCTAAATCGTGTTTTTTAAACCTTAAAGTGGTTGCCAAGGGAAACAGGCAGAGTAGCTGTAAAATGTCTGCAGCACCATGGAAGGCAGAGGGGAGCATGTGATGACTGCGTGGTGGCCATCCGGGGACTCAGCTGAGTTGTCCTACAGGGTTACCAGGGTCTCACCCTTGCTCACGTCACTTGTCACCCACCATCAGGAACTTGAGCAGGAAGCCATGGGCATGGACTGGGCTGCTGCTGGTTCTCATCATGCCAGCACCCGGCATCATGCCAGTGCTCAGGCCCGGCCCACAGAACGGTGCAGAGGTGGTGTCTGGGCAGCCCAGTGCCGCTCAGCCCCAAGAGTTGATTATTTTAAAAAATTCTTATTTTATATTGGAATATAGTTGATCCACAACATTTTGTTAGTTTCAGGTGTACAACAAAGTGATTCAGTTATGTATACACAGGTATCTGTTCTTTTTAAAAATCTTTTCCCATTTAGGTTGTTACATAATATTGAGCAAAGAATTCCCTGTGCTGTAGAGTAGATCCTTGCTCAACTTTTGTTTGTTTGTTTTTGGAGTGTACTTGCTTTACAGCGCTCTGCTAGTTTCTGCTGTACAGTGAAGTGAATCAGCTCTGTACACTTCCATCTCCTCCCTCTCGGCCCTCCGCCCCAGCCCAGCCCTCCCCGTCCGTCTGGGTCGTCACAGAGCACTGAGCTGAGCGCCCTGTGCTAGACGGCAGGGTCCTGGTCACCCGTTTTAAACACAGTTGTGTGCACACGTCAATTCCAAACTCCCTAACTATCCCTCCTCGCCCCCATCCACTCTGGTAACCATAGTTTGTTCTCTGAGTTGATATTTTTTAAGACAGGCTTTCCTAACAAAAGCATGTCTTCTGAATGAGGTGCTTTTCCCGAAACAGATCAAGACAGGCAAGCAATCCCTGCAGTGAAAGACTGGACCACCAGAGATCACACGCGTGGCATCGGTGGGCGCCTGGCCACCCTGTTACCCAACCTTACCCATTCTCTTAAAGACGTGTGGCTGTTGTTCATTTCTTCCACCACAGGAAAATAGTTTCATCATAGAAAGTGTACAGTGCGAGCAAAGTGTTCTGAGAAAGCAGAGCGCATCTCCTGTAAGAAGGGCCGCTGGGGGCCTGGGTACTGTGCACCGTGCCCACTGGGTCCCAAGAGGAGCCAGGGATGGGTCTGAGCAAGGCTCGATGGTGGCGACCTGCTCCTTGGGGTGGGTCTGCACCTTCCCCGGGGCCTGTGGCTGATGTGGGACCCATTTCTCTCCAGTTGGTAGAGCTTAAAAATGGGGAGACATACAACGGGCACCTGGTGAGCTGTGACAACTGGATGAACATCAACTTGCGTGAGGTGATCTGCACGTCCAGGGTGAGTACCCTGTGCCCTCCGCCTGTACCCCCTGTCTGGGGGCCTTCAGGTGGGGCTGGCCTGGTGGGTATCTTGAGTGGAGGCTGTGGGGCCAGGGTCGCACACTGGGACCTGGGATGATTTTCCAGGGCCTTAGCGTTCGCACTTCCAAGTCCAGTCCAAGCCCTCTTCCGGGACGTTTGGGAGGAGTGGGACGGTCCACACCTCAGCCTCTACTGCAGGTCATCCCGCCAGGGGCGGGGCCCGAGGGACTGGGCTGGATGTGGAGCTGGGCAGAGGGACAAGGCTCCAAGTCTGGTGCCCTGGATTTGGCACCTGTGGATGCTGCCCCGCAGGTACTGAGCCGCTCCTCCTCCCCCCAGCCCCAGCACCACTCCTGACCAGGAAGGACTTGGGCCTAGGGGTGCCTCTGGCTGTAAACCCGTAAACTCTACAGGGAGGGGGTGGCCTCCAGGCAGACTCCCTCCCCCCGCCTGCACTGGGTTCTGCTAGTTAGTGCTTCCTTTCCCCTTGGTTCCCGTCTCCACCACCTGCCCAGGGTAGCCCCCCATGTTACGGGGAAGAAGTTGCTGGGAGGCCTGGGCTGTCTTGAGCCAAGGACAGGGTACCCTCAGGGCTCGCCCGCCAGCACTCAGCAGAGCACAGGAGAGCCACTCGCGGCCTGTGGGACCTTTCCTGCCCCAGAAGGCAGACCGGGGAGGGGGGCCTACCCCCCTTCCCCCCACCTGCTCAGCTCTGTGACTAAGTTCTTGGGACCGAACTCCAGGTGGCAGGTGGCTGAGGATTTCCGTTGTGGATTTCCATGGCACCGTGGTGCACAGCTGGGCACATGTCCCCTGCACATGGCCAGCAGGTTTCTGTCCACTTTGAGGATGTCGAGCCAATCACTGGGTCTTGGGGCAAGGTCAGTCCCGCCTCCATGGCCAAGCCTGGACACATGGCTCCCCCTGCAGGGTTCCCCTGGGGACCCAGCGGTTGGGAGGAGAAACTGGGTGTGAGGAACCATCTTGTGCAGGCCATCAGGCCTCCTCACCTGTAAACAGGTGACGGCAGTCCATCCTCCCCTTGGGCAGCCAGATGCAGAGACCCCAGGGGCTGAGTGCGCGCAGGAGAGCAAACATCTGGAGGCATGAGCTGCCCCCATGGAAAGCACATAAGCCTGGTTCCTCCAGGGAGTGCGCTGGGCTGGGCCTGCCCTTGGCTGGGGAAAAGCCTCACACTGAATGGCCGCCCCAGTCCCAGCCCTGAGCTTCCACAGAATCATCGTTCTGTCTGGCTGTACTCTGCATCCCCACGGACTTGGCCGCTCGCCTCCCCTTGCTGGGAAAGGAATGCTCTGAGGCCTCTTGGGGTTCCTGTATGGGTCGGGGCTCTTATGTGTGTTCCTGGGAAGAGTTGGCCCTCAGACATTCTACTGTCCCTGCCGAGCGCCTCCACTGGGCTGGGCTGAGTGGCTTAGGCACCGCTGATGTCATGCAGGAGGACTGGGGGCTTCAAGGAGGCTAGAGGCAAGGCCTGTTGAGGGCTGCAGTTAGCCAGACACGAAAAGGCGGGAACAGCGTGTGCAACATGCACACAGTGGGCCAGAATCCCACTGTGTGTGTTCCAGAATGTTCCATCTGGAAGGCACATCGAGTGCCGAGAGGGGGCAGCCAGAGTGGGGCTGGCTCTCAGGCCCTCTGGAGCCACACCGAGAGATTTGGACCTCATCCTGAGCCAACGGGGCCCTGATTGGGATCTAAGCAGGGAGATGTCTTGGTCTGATTTCTAGGGTTATGGGGGGAGGGGTTGGCTTGGGGCAGCAGGGGTGGGGCGGGAGAAGCAATCTGATGGATGAGGTCCCGGGCTCCGGCCCAAGGGCAGCAGGAGGGTGGGGCGAGACCTTGTGCTGGTCACAGGGTGTATGGGGGTCGGGGGGAGACAGCATCCTGAAAACTTGAAGGTTGGCGTTGCTCAAGAGTCTACAGCTGTACCAGCCCCCTTGTCTCTCTATTTCCATTAGCTCCCCTGTAAACTGGCATCACCGGGTGCTGCCCCAGCCGGCCCCAGACCTGCCTCCCTACCCCCCTCCTGGCCCTCTTCACCCATCACACAGGGTCTGTGTCCTGCTCACCTGCGTCCCATGCCCAGCTCAGACCCTGCCACGAGACACTTGTGTGAATGAATGAGTCATGGCGCGTGGAGCGGATTCCAGGAGAGTTCGGGAAGACTGGGAGCAGAAGGGGGAGGAGCTGGGCTGTGGCAATACCTGGCATGTGAGGCAGCCTCACCCCTCTCCAGGCTTTGGACGGCCTCCCCCACCAGAGGACAGGCTGAGGACAGGCTGCTCATGAGGCCCTGCCCCTCCCGCCCTCATGCGTGAAGGGCTGCCAAGGGTCTGGAGAGAGCCTGCTGGAGGCGGCCCCTCCCGTGTCCTGTGCAGAAGGAAGAACCTCATACCCCGTGGGGGCGATGCCAGGTGCAGGGAGCCCGAGAGGATGGATGCTGCCCGGCTGCCTGCACTTCCCTCCCCGTGGCCTTGACACGTACCACCTCTCTGGCAGGACGGGGACAAATTCTGGCGGATGCCCGAGTGCTACATCCGCGGCAGCACCATCAAGTACCTGCGCATCCCCGACGAGATCATCGATATGGTCAAGGAGGAGGTGGTGGCCAAGGGCCGTGGCCGCGGTGGCCTGCAGCAGCAGAAGCAGCAGAAGGGCCGCGGGATGGGGGGCGCCGGGCGAGGTAGGCCCTTCTGTCCCCCTTCTCCCCTGGCAGGCAGCCGGGGCCTCCCCGCTGGGGGGTGACCGCCGCACATGGCATCTGGCCTGGCCCGGTGTTGACATTCTCCACTGGTTTTGTCATCTTGCCGAGGGCTTGGCTCTGAGCCCCTCCTCCATGGCACTGGGGGGCCGTGACTCACGGGGCTCTTCTGTGGAAGAGCTGACACTGCTGCTTGCCGCCTGCGTGCCCCGTGTCCCCAGCTCCAGGAGCCCGGCTGGGTGCTGGCGGTCAGTGCTAGCCACGCGCATCGCCGCAGCACGGACCCGACCCGCCCCCCCCCCCGCCCCCCACCGCAGTGGCGCTCCGCCCGGCAGGCCAGCCCAGTGCCCACACAGACCTGGGGCTTGAGCCCTGCCTGTTTCTCCGAAGGTGCTCTGGGCGCCTCGCGAGCCTTGATTTGCCGCCTGCAGAGAAGATCCCCGTGGTGCCCAGGCTGGGACCCTTCCTGCTGTGACTCTAGACAAAACCGAGGTCACGCCTTTTGGGTAGATCACCCCGCACCACCCTGAAATCATAAATCTAGCATAAAATTAAATGTGCCGTCAGCTAGAGCCAGAGGCCAGCTGTGGGCCCCACCCTTCCCTGCCTCCCCCACCCGACTTCTGTCCTTGGAGGGACCTGACTTTGTCTCTGCCACCTGGAGAGCCTTATATGCCGGGTCCCGGGAACCCACTGTGGGAGCTTATAGGCAGAGCCAGGAAGGACATAGGAGCCTGCCCTGAGCTGAGGCTCGAGTGACAGAAAGGAGCCAGAGAGAGGAGGGCCCCCCAGGTGGAAAGAACCCAGGATGGGGGTGAGCAGGGCCCCAGGGGTCCCAGGACCTGCCCCCAGGGCTAGGCTCTCCAGCCAGGGTGCCACCACTATCCAGTAAACGGCCTGAAGGAGCAGGGAGGACAGAGAAAGCGCCTTGCTTGCACAGGGGCCCCTGCATGACCAGGCTCCCCTTGGCCAAGCTGGGTCTTGCTCCATTAGAGATGAGGCCAGGCAGACCCTGTCAGCACTGGCTCTGTACCCTGCGTGTGTGTGGAGGAAGGGGGCCCTGGCTGGCCAGGCTGGCTCTCTGCAACCTCCTAGGCAGGGGCTGCGCCCACCCTTGTGCTATTCACCTTCCCCAGCAGCAGTGGGTGTGCTCCGCGTAAAAGGTCTTTGGGAAACAGCCCCACCTCTGGCTGCAGAGGCCCGAGCTCAGGAGGCTCCCCCGCCCCTTCTCCGGGCTGGACACAGAAAGCCCACCCCGCCCCATTGTCTCTCTCCTGGGCCAGATGTGGGTGGTGCCACAGCAAGGCAGGCTGGGGTGCCCCGGTGCAGCCCCAGCCACACAGCTGAGCACCATTGCTCCACCCCTGGGCTGAGTCCAGGCCTCCTCGCTTGTACTCCCTGCTCCTCCCGGAAACCCTTCTGATTTTGTCCTGATGACCACCCACCCCCAACCTTGGCCCTCAGCCCTCTCTTCCAGGAAGCATCCCCCCCGCCCCCCGGCAAGCCCCAGTGTGACTTGGTGCCAGCCTCTGTCCTCCTTGGCGTCCTTTGCACCCCTGGGGAGCTGGTCTGATAACCCTTGTCACACTGAGAACGTTGTGGAGCAGCACCCCTGCCAGCCCCGGTCAGACGCTCCACCTCAGGTTTTCAGCCTGCTCTTCCCATTACAGTCCTGCCCCCACTTTACAGAGGTGGAAGCGGAGGCTCAGAGGGGCTCAGCGACTTGGCTATAGTCTGAAGGTTCCAGTTCCTGGTCCCTGCCCACAGTGCCCCTCCCAGCCCAGCTCTGCTGAAGCTCCCCCCCCTGTCTCACAGGTGTGTTCGGTGGCCGGGGCCGAGGTGGGATCCCCGGGACTGGCAGAGGTCAGCCAGAAAAGAAGCCAGGCAGACAGGCGGGCAAACAGTGAGCCGCCCCTCCACTCCCGAGACTGAGCTGCCACTCCGAGCATCCGTTCCCACCCCGAGGCCGCATTCCTGCTCTCCAGTTTATGACTGTTCAGAACAAAAAGAAGACGCTGGGGTCAGGGAGGACCCTGCCTGTCATCTTGTGATCCTCCTGTTTTTCTGTTAGCCAGCAGTTCTATGGTTGGAAATGTTATTCTGTGCTTCTGGTTTTCTGAAGCCGCAGCCAACTGGATTCCTGGAAGATTCTGTGTTCAACGCATCTTTAAAGCCCTCACTCTTGTTTAAAGGGCAGGCATTTTCCAAACAGGTTTGTTTTGTATTCTGTGTGGTGAACAGACGGGAGGTTTTTATTTTCAGCTGTTTGCACTGAGATAGACAGCCTAGAGGGTCTCCTGAAACATGGACCCTGAAACTGCCTTTTCGAAATGAATCCAGGCAAGTGTGTGACTCAGAAGCTGTTCTGGGGGATGATGCTGGGCCCTGTTCCGTCCCTTCTCTCTGTCTTACAAAAATAAAAACAAATACAACTACAAACTGAAATCCGTAATTCCTTTGAACCACTGGGCACATCTAGTAGTGGTGTCCTCAGGAAATCACAGCCCCCACGAAAGAAGTTTCCTTTTGCACCCATGGCCTCTCACCAAGGGGAAGTGTTTCAATAGGACACTGGTTCCCATGACCCTCAGCAGCCTCTTAACAAAAGCTGGAAGGCAAGATGGGGGTCTGCGCAGCAGGTGACCCCCTTCCCCTCTTTGTGGGGAGGTGGGGGAGGGAAGTCCTAGGCGGGAGCCAGTAGGACACCCATAGTCTGTCCTCACCCTCCGTCCGTTTTGCAAGCCCTGTTCACACCAGAGCTCCCTGAGGAGCTGTGACAGAGAGCTGCCTCCAGAAACACATGAGGAAGGTTTTTGTGAACCTTTTACCTCCTCTTAACAGTCAGGGCACTTGCCTGTCCACGACTCGGCGATTTGCCTGAGATGCTGAGCCAGCACTTGTGCAAAACGCTTCCGGTGATGTGGTCCTTTGACCAATATTCCTGGACAGCCTGGTGTTTAAGAGGCTGGTTCCTATGGATGTGAAGTACACTTGGCCGGGAGTTCTACTTGTCACTGATACCGTGTTGAGACCGGTTCTGAAGAGTGACTGGAAGAAAAGATGGTGGTGCCTGTAGAAGTCCACTCAGGTCTGCAAAGTACCGGCCTAGCTATCTCAAAGATTCTCTTAGGATTTCTCAGTCTGATCCTATCTGGAGAGTGCTGTTCCCTGCCAGTACCTCACCATTGCCTCTCTCCCTCTGCACCCCCTCCAGGGACCTACTGCTGCCCGAGTCCATTTTGGCATAGGTTGGGACAGGGGTGCGTCTGAGTATGACCTGGGCCTGGGGAACCCACCTCCCTCAGACGTGGGCGGTGCCAGGCCAGGCTGGTAGGAAGACAAAAAGAATGGTGGGGAGGGAGGGCCTGGGGTCACAACTCCCCTCCCTCACAGCCCTGAACACAGAATCCATCATGGCCTTTGGGGGCCTTGGTTTGGAGTCTGGGTTTCCCACTTGCCAGGGGCGTGATGTCTCTGGTGAGGCTTTGATGAGAGCCGGGCGCTCCGCCTCGGGTATCCTGCACGGCTGTGAACGAGAAGCCCTTTAGAAGCCCCGCCCCTTCCTGCTGTTCGCGGTTTGGTTTTTCCTCCTTAGCTCTGGACCAAGAACACTCAGACGTTCCCAAGGGCCATTCGCCGCTCAAGGTCTTGGGTCTCCGACGCGCCCCGTCTACACACAGGGGCACATCCCCGGCGGCGTGCGTAATCGCGGCTTCCTGCCCGCGCCGCCAGCCGCGCCAGCCGCCCCTGACCTTTCCAGCCGGGCAGCCCGGGCTCACGGCCCAGTTCCCTCCGAGCCCGCTGGTGACGTGAGCCGCCTCCCCGGCACTGGCCGATTAGGTGCCAAGGGGCTTCCGGAAGGCTCCGTCCTCCTGAGTTGGGTGTCAGGACAGCCCGGTTTTCCAGTTCTTCTTCCTGGTTGGTTTCAAGAAACCAGCCTCAACGCCCTGAACAAGAAGAGAAACCAAAAGTGCCGGCCTGGTTCCCACAAGTCGGCCTCCTTTCTGCCCTCCTGATGGTCTGTCTCCGGGGTCTGGCACCCCCATCAGCTGACTGCTGCAGGACCTGCAGCCTGCGGGCTACCTTAAGTGTAGGTGGTGAAGTGTAGGTGCTTTCCGCGGGCCGACCTTCTCCCTTTGGAGTTTGTTCCAGCTTTCAGGCCAGGGAGGCCCACACACCCAGGTGTGACTCAGCTTGGGGCCAGCCTGGATTGCCCTGTTGCTTCAACCTGGGGCCATGAGTCCATTTCAGGGAGCTGGAGCCAGTGGGCAGCTGTAAGCAGCAGCCCCCCAAGGTAGTGGTGGGCAGGAGGGCGACTCTTGCCTTCCTGTGTCAATCCTGCCTGCACACCCCTCAGCACTGATTCCTCCTCCCCTGGGCCTCACCTGCTGCTCCATCAGCACCTCCCCTGGAAGCTCTGCCCCAGCCTGCTGCCTCCCACTTCCTCCAGGCCGGCTTGATGGCAGGTGTCCTCCCCACCCATCCAGCTGGGCCCTGGGGTCTGCACGTCCCGGCCCGTGTGTCCCTACCCGCCCATCACTGTCTCCGTGTCCTCTGCCCGCCCTCCACGGACAAGGCTGCTTGGTCTGCGGGAGGTACGGGAGGTGGTCTGATGTCCACTCTGACGGTCTCAATGGGGGCAGCTGTTCGCCATAACGGGAAGAGAGGCCTGGCTGGGGGTGGAGGAACAGGGGCCACAACTGCATCCCAGGCACTGGAGACTAAGCTGTGAATTAAACAGAGTCCCCCACCACAGGGACCCTTACCTTCTAGGAGGGTGAGTGGCAACAGACAGGCCAAATGCATAAATTCCAAGAAGAAAATGAGGGTGGAGAAGAGAGGTGGTCAGGGCAGGCCAGGGGTGACATTTGAGAAAAGGGCTGGAGGGAGGCAGAGGAGTCAGTCATACCCCTGGGGGAAGAGTGTTCCTGACAGGTAGGCAGCCTGTGCAAAGGTCCTGTGCCCGGCGGTGACAGGAGCAGAGAGGGAAGGAAGTGGGGCAGGTGCAGGCTCTGAGTGACAGAGGAAGCCACAGAAGGTTCCAGAACAGACTGAGGCAAGCATGGAAGCCAAGAGACCAGGGGAAGCAGTGCTGGGGTGGGGGTGGGGTCAGCCCACGGGAGAGGCCACAGAGGTGGCGGGGGAAGGGGCAGGGGTGCCGTGAGGGCCCAGACTGGGTTGTTCTGCAAGCTCAGGACGCTGGGGTGGGAGTTTTCTGAAGACTAGAAGGGGGACATGGTCAAATCGGTTTCTGAAGGACATGAAGTCTCTGGTCAGGACTTTTCTGAAAGTCTAGTGCTTAAGACTGCCTTCCAATGTATGGGGTGCAGGTTTGATCCCTGGTCAGGGCGCTAAGATTCCACACGCCTCTGGGCCACAAAACCAAAACATAAAACAGAAACAAGACTGTCTAAATTCAATAAAGACTTTAAAAATGGTCCATATCAAAAGTCTTAAAAAAAAAAAAAGAAGCCTCTGGCCTCGGGAAGAGAGCAGGGAGCAGTAAACACAAAGCCCCTGAGACTATGGGGCCTGCTCAGGGCGGGAAGCGAGGACGGACAGACCCCGGGGCTTGGTCCCAGGAACGGCTGAGCAGGGCACAGGCAGCGTCCATGTGCAAACCCAGAGAGCGTGAGCCAGCCACCCCAGGACACATGCTGGGAGGTGTAACCCCACGGGGCCTCAGATATACAGCCAGTGCTCCATACTTGCTTTTAAAAAAAAGATTTTTTTTTTCATACTAGGAATTAACTCGTGCCCCCTGCAATGGAAGCGCGGAGTCTTAACCACTGGACCTCTGGGGAAGTCTCTCATTCCTGCTTGAAAACACAGGAGAAGCGCCTCCCTGAGCACCTGTGGAGTGTCTGAAACCTCACCTTAGGACCCTCTTTATCTCCACAAGCTGTGGGGGCAGCGTGACTGACTGGCCAGGGGGGACCCGGGCAGCGGTGCCATGCCACAGGGAGGGGCCAGGCCACTGGCCTCTGCGCCCCGGAGGCCGACACCAGATGCCTGGCCCCAGGTCCGAAAACTGTCACCTTACAGGCCCTGGGTCCTGCCCTGAGTCCCCCCTTCTGGTCTGGGCCCAGCCACCCAGGGATGACTCACCCCCACTCCGCCCCCGCTGGAACCAGGCACCAAAATAGTCACCCAGCTCACTCTTGGGAGTGGCCGTGGAAATATTTCAGGGCTGCATTCAGTGCCTAAAAATACTTGGGGAATACAGGCATGCATCTCTCCTCCTTCAGTCCCTTCTCTGTTCCTTGGAAAACCATCCCTATAAGCACCCTGGGGGCCAGTCCCTCCATGCTACACCCCTCCAGCAGGTTATGTCTCCCTGGCCAGCAGGGCTGTGGGAGGTCCCCAAGTGCCCACATCCCTGTCAAGTGTGGTGAGGTGGCCTTGCTTCCTCCCTGTTGCCATGGAGAGACTCCACAAGGTTCCCCAGAACTCTCTGGAAGGGCGAAGCCTTTTCTACAACCCTTAGAAGTCTTGATTCCTGGAGAGGGAGGCCAGGGAGCAGCAACATTGATCAGGGAGATCTTCATTACTCAGCAGTTTTCCTTCAAAATTAGAAAATGTATCTTGCTGTTTGTGTTCATGAGGCTGCTGGAAGCAGGCTCCTAGGACAGGGCCCCCGGCTAGATCCACTCCTGTTGCCTCCCCTGCCCACTTGTTTTGGAACCCCTACATAGGTCCTTCTCCCTCCCCCAGGGAGAAGGCTGTCCCCCTCCAATGCACCCAAATATCTTTGATATCATCCTAACCACTCAGTCTCCCGGGCATACCCCATCCTAACCAAGCCCCCTGACCTTTTTTGTGGCCCCAGGAAGGTGAGGGGAACAGGAATGATTCGAGTTGGAATGTGGCTTGGCCCACTGGGATCTAATCCGCTTCTCTATCCCCT